AGAGGAAAAGGAGAAGGGAAAGGAGGGAAAGGGTAAAAGAGAGAGAGAAGGAAGAGGACGGAAAGGGGAAAAGAGGAGGAAAAAGAGGGAAGTGGACGGAAAGGGGAAGGTAGGAGAAAAAGAGAGTAGAGAAGTGGAGGGAGGGGAAGATGGAAGGAAGAGAAGGGAGTGGGAAGAGGAAGGGAAAGGGAGAGAGAGAGAGAGAGAGAGAGAGAGAGAGAGAGAGAGAGAGAGAGAGAGAGAGAGAGAGAGAGAGAGAGAGAGAGAGAGAGAGAGAGAGAGAATCTACAAAAAATAAAAACATCCATAAAAAAAAATCAGATAAAACGATACTAATTAGAAAAAATAAAGGAAATTTAATAACTCACGGAAACAGTTATTTACGTCGCTTCTCTCACGGGCTGTAAAACATCTTTTGTGTTCCGTGAAAAACTGGGAAAGTTCATTCTCAGGCAGGAAGTCTCGCGAAAATGGAGGTGGCGGGGGCAGGGACTAGCGGTGCATCTCTCTCTTTCTCTATTTCATTTTCATCTTTTTGTTGGTTTCTTTTTCTGTCTGCCTGTCTTTTTTTCTCTCGCTTTCTCTTTCTTGTTTAAATTTTGGTTTCTCTGTCTGTCTTTCTGTCTCTGTCTCTCTGTCTGTGTCTGTCTGTGTCTGTGTCTATGTCTATGTCTATGTCTATATCTGTGTCTTGTGTCTGTGTCTGTGCTGCCTGTGTCTGTGCCTGTGTCTGTGTCTGTGTCTATTTCTGTGTCTGTGTCTGTGTGTGTCTCTGTCTCTCTCCCCATCCATCTGTCTGTCTATGCGTGGCTGTCTATATATTTATGAATAGACACATACTAATAATACTAAATGACAATAACAAACAATTATATTTACCATTATTATTACCATTATTATCATCATTACCATTATCCCTATCCTCATCATTATTCACATTTTTAACATTATCCTCATCATCAAAATCCAACTACTATATGACCCTGAAATCTAGCACAACCATTTCATTAAAACACTAAACTTCAAAAACACTCTCAAAAATCCTTAACTCTATAGGTACACTTCATAGCACACACAGAACGCCATCACCAAGCTCAGTCTAAACGGCATACCTTAATCCAATCTTTAATCCCAAATCCCAGAATGTAACACACGAAACTAGGCTTCAATAGCGACTTCCTGGTTTGGGGTAAAATCGTTTTCTTTTTTCCCTACTGCTAGAAACGGTGTAGGGGAAACAAATGTAAATGTGTGTACATGCGATTGAGTGATAGGTGTAAGTGTAGATGGCTATGTAGGAAGGGATGTGTACATATATATCTGTGATTGGATTATTATCATTATTATTGATGTTACTAATATATCGATTATTATTTTTATTATTATTACTATTATTGTCTTTTTTATTATTACTATTACTAATATTATTATGATTATTCTCATTATCATTATTATCATTTTTATCATTATTATTATGTTGATGATGTAAATCAATAATATTGAATACATACAAATATATATATATATATATATATATTATAATAATATATATAATATATATATATATATGTATATATATATATATATGTATATATATTATATATATATTTATATATATATATATGTGTTGTGTGTGTGTGTGTGTGTTGTGTGGTGTGTGGTGTGTTGGTGTGTGTGTGTGTGTGTGTGTCTGTGTGTGTGTGTGTGTGTGTGTGTATGTGTGTGGTGTGTGGTGTGTGTGTGTGTGTGTGTGTGTACATATATATATATATATATATATATATATATATTATATATATATTATATATATATATATTATATGTAATTATGCTCAAATAAATTCGAGAAAACAAATAATGAAAGCATTCACAAATCCGCAAAATCATATACAACAGAAATCTCTTAAAATCCTCGTCCCATAAAACACACTTCAAAGAACAAATAAATGAAAAATAGAAAATAAAAAAAAAAACATCCTCGAGTACAACTAAACAGGCAAAGATCAAACCAACATCAAGAACGCCTTAGATAAAACAAAAACCGTCCAATTAAGCAGCAAAAAGCCGAAGAATTCGTAAAGGCAATTGACCGCGTGATTTCCTCGACGTCATATGAAGCAGAGTCCGCCAGTGGCATGATGTGCATGGCAACCGTGCCCGGAATTAATGAACACGAGGCACATGGCACCCTGGAGAAAAGGAGAGAGCAAAGAGCAAATAAATAAAGAACTGAAAGGAAATTTTTGGGTAAATGAGAGAAAGAAATGAAGAGGGGAAAAGGTGAATATTTGAGGGGGGGAAAAAATAAAAATAATTGCATGATGGTATTTCTGTGCGAAAAAATCGGGAAAATAATATATGAAGATATATTATCAAAGAAAAAAAAAAGATAAATCATAACCAAAACAATAAAAGAAAAATACAAACATCAAATCAAACACACAAACAAACATTCTAAATTCGAAAAAATTCATAAAATCTCCGAACAAGAGAGAGAGGAA